ATCCCGCCCGCTCTAAAGTGGTACTGAGCTGCAGTGGAAACGCAAACCATGCGGAGCCGAACCGTGCCGTGCCGTACTGAGCCGTGCCGAGCCGAGTCGTACAACGCAGTGGAAAAGCGCCATAAGTAACACATACAGCTGTGTCCTCACCACAGTGCAACAGTGAAAAGAGACCCCCCCTCAAACGCGTTCCGAACATTATTTAAAACGACACCGGTATTGCTGTATTTTAAAAAAACACCGGTATTCGGTATGAACCGGTATACCGCCCAGCACTAGGAGGCAGAGTTCATTAATGATGCTTTAGCACTATACTATACCATAGGTGGAAATCCTGGGGGTGGGGTGGGGGTATGTCTGGCAACCCTATCTGAGGGTTGACCCCCATAAAAATATGATTAAAACACATGCTGTGTATTGTAAATAACAATGTTTTATACTTTAAATAATAGTGTACGTAGTAAAATAACACAAACGCAAAAGGGGCAAAAATGCGTTTCAAGTTTAAACATTTTGAGTCTCCCCCTCCCTTTCCTCACAGTGCTTTGGTCCAAATGTCTGCTTTCCTCTTTTACATCACCTACACACACCCAGTCCAGTGAGAGAGAACAAAGTCAACAGTTGTGGATCTCCAGTAAGTAAGGCTGCCAAGGCTATTTTATTCACTTAAACATTGGCTGAAGTGATTATTTTCTCTTTAATACAGATGATGCCAATGTATTTTCCGACGAGTCTGCTATGTTAGCAATAATAACCAGTTACCTGCTTGACAGAAAGGGTTGCCAGGTTTTCATAACAAAATCCGCCCAATTGCTACTCAAAACTGGCCCAAACGAACCGCGTTTCGAGGGGGTCCCTTGGTACAAATCGCGTTCCGGTGGCTAAAATACACGTTATTGGGGTCGTTTCAACCTGCGGCAACAGTGATAAAGTAGCCCAATTCCTTGGGAAAACCGCGGACTTGGCAACACTGTGACGGATAGTAATAACGTCTACAATAGATACGAGCGCTGTCGCGGCGCAAACACAACAGCTTTAAGTTGTCTAATTTGGCGCGGTCTCCCTGCTACACTAATAGTAGTAAGGCTTTCCTCTGTGTATACATATCCTTACAAGTACAATTTTAGCTGTATTATTTGTGTCCCCTTCAAAAATTGCTCTTGAGAATTTGTATGTTTATTGTCCCCCCCCCAACTGTTAGACGAAATTTACGCCCCTGTACTCTACTAACATATAACAGTCAGGTCACTGGTCACAGCTCAGTAAATGGACCACTGCTATTTTGCTGAGGCTACTGATCTGCAAATCAAAAGTATAAACATGCACAGTAGAACTCACACTAATCAGAGCCCTTACTTTAAATCACCTGAAACCTACAAAAGCAAAAACTTCATATAGTTTCTAAAAATAATAGTCTTGTATTTTCTGCAGTTAACAGGGTTCCTACACATTTTCCATTTCAAAATTCCATACTTTTCCAGACTCAAATTTCCAAACCTCTCCTTTTTGTAGAGCCCGACCGATATATTGTTTTGCCGATATTATCGGTCCATATGAGCCTGTCACAGGCTGCTTTCCTCTTTTACATCACCTACACACACCCAGTTAATATGTTAACTGGGTGTGTACAGCATATTATCAGTTAATATGCCGCCGATATGACATTTTTTTTTTACAGAACATATAACGCAGATGAAATGCTTCTAAATGGTGTAAGTTTGTCCAGCAGAGCGCGCTCCATTGTTTGCTACTGGCGACTCAGGTCAGTGTAGTGTAGAGATGTGCAGATGAGCTCAAACTTCACTCGAGTCCGCTACTTCAAATAAATTATCCGCCCACCACCAAACACACCTATATTTGATCATCACATTACAATGATTCTAATTCTTAGTTTTGCATGATGATATGATGAATGGATGGTTCATTTTTAACAGCAGATTCAGTGGCGTTAGAGACTACAGCTGATTTGTGCATCATGGCACACATCTGCGGCACATTACGTCTCCACGGCCACCGGAGCTGATTGCAGCCACTCAGTCAATGCTGGTGTTTATACCGGCCTCGCCGCGGCCCAGAACTCATGCTTATCACATCTGTCACATCACATTTCTTAACTGGGTGTACCAACCGGACGCGAGCGGCGTGGCTCAACAAAATACAATAGAACCCATACAGACCACAATAGAACCCATCAGTGATGCTAGCTTTGTCGCGTCCTGTTGCGGCGCAGACACGGTGTCAGCACAGTTTGTCAGTACAGTCAGTAACGTTGCAGATTGAAAAGTTAGTATCTTTCTGCAGTCCAACAGATGGCAGTGTGGTGGTGGCTTGAGTCTGTTGAATGGTGATTTAACGCTACGTTGTCACCTAGTTGGAGCGACTCAATGTTAAGTAAATAAACAACAATGTCCCCGTCTTTTACTGTCACAATGAGCTTATCATATTCGTTTGCTATATTAGTATGGCCCTATGATTTCCGCGATGCACGGAACCGTGGAATCAAATCATAAAAACTGAATTTACTGTATAATGTGGAATTTCATGGAATTTGTCTTATTTTTGATGAATAAATAAAAAACACGTCAGTACACTTAAATCAAATCGTCTAGTGTCTGTGAATATTAACCTGCAAAAAACTATTTTAAATACGAATCCTCATGTTCTGCATGTCCATTTGATTACCAGAAAATACACAACACAGAATTTGTAAAAAAAATATTATTCATTATTATTATTTATTCATTTAATCGGAGATATATTAAAAATGGTCTTTGATCTTCCAAGCTGTTTAATGGCAGTCAGCGGGTGTTGCAGTTCATCAGTCCAAAAGAAGTGAAATAAAGTGCATCTATCCATAATAAAAAGTGTCTCACACAGCTCCGGGGAGTGAACAAAGGCCTCCTGTAGCGAATCGATGCATTTTTGTAAGAAAAATATCCATATTCAAAATGTAATAATCACTTTAAAGCTTGCGCCAACAGTTGTACACGGAAGCAACTCCGGGAGGATGACGTAAGATGTGGTGTTGTTTTAAATATGGTTATTTTTCTTACAAAAACGCATCGATTCGCTACAGGAGGCCTTTGTTCACCCCCCACAGCCGTGTGAGGCACTTTTTATTATGGATGGATGCGCTTTATTTAACTTCTTTTGGACTGATGAACTGCAACACCCGCTGACTGGCATTAAACAGCTTGGAAGATCAAAGACAATTTTTTATATAACTCCGACTGGATTCGTCTGAAAGAAGAAAGTCATATACACCTAGGATGCCTTGAGGGTGAGTAATTCATGGGCTAATTTTTAATTTTTGGGTGAACTAACCCTTTAATTCAAGTTATATATATTTTGTTCTATTTGTGTTTTTTAAGTTATTTATAATAAGAGAAGATTATCGTTAAGAGCACTGATGTCAGACTCATTTTGAATAATAAAGTTTATTGTTAAATTGTTAAATACCCTGCTTCCATTACATAGGTGTTTGATCACCACATTTGAGTTATCATTGCAAAAAATGTGTTTATGTATATATATTCTGTTTATGTATATACTGTATTCTTATACAGTACCAGTCAAAAGTTTGGACACACGAATGGGAAGTGTGTCCAAACTTTTGACTATACTGTACTGTTATATAGCCTCACAAAGAATATTTTTTACTCCCTAATATCGGTATCAGCCCCAAAAAACCCATATTGGTCGGGCTCTAGATTTTTGGCCCATATTTAACATAAATAGTTCATACAGAACCATTTTCAGCTTTATGTTTGGTATATATTACAGTCATCTATAAATATTTTTATTTTTTCCGTTTTTTTTTATTGATATACTTGAAGTGATAAATAAAAAAAATAATTAAAAAAAACAGACTTTTGCATGCACACAAGAAACTTTTTGTGCCCTCGAGAAACTATTCACATGTGCATGGGAATTTTTTTGCATGCTTGCACAATTTCCAGTTTTATATAACCCATTTCCTTTGTGCATCACTGCCATCTTGCTATAAATAAAGCAAGAGCATGGATGCACATGAATTAATAGAGATCTACTTGCTCAAAATTTGGATTTCCTTATAGTAGTACCTCTAATATCAAGGCCTAATGTCCAATTTAGCCTCTGCGGTGGCAGAAAAACTATGACACGAAATGGGCTGATGGCATAATATGGCTGTGTGCATTGTCCTATTTATTTCAAGGGTCCATAAAAAAAGGGTCCATTTTTTTTTTTGTAAAAAAGTGTTCAAAATGTAGCTTAGGGCAGTATGTCATATTTCAAGGCCTTAGGTCTCTTTAACGCATATTCTGTGGCAGCCCAAAAAACACACTGCGAAATGGGCTGATGGCACAATAGGTGGCTCAGTATGCCTTGTCCTATATGCTAAGTGTAATGGTTTCTCGTGCACACATAAAAGTCTGTATATTTTTTTATTTTTGCAAAGGTCCTTGTGGCTATGTAATATGGTGCTAAGAATATCGTGAGAAGAAACCCAAAATGCAAAATGAAAAAGTGCACTTTGCACCAAGTGCACCAGTCGTGTTTGACAATCACTAAAGACTCACTAAACAGCTGCCACTTCTTGTATGATAAACTTATTTTCATTAAAAAGAATTAATATCTATAGTGCATGAGCACAGAGATTTGAGAGTGCACAGGACACAGTTTGAGTGAGAGGAGAGACACGTTTTAAGTGCGCGCACTCTCTCCGGGCGAGAGCAGCGTGTATCTGAGCGCGCGCATCCGGTTTAGTGCGAGAGCAAAGGAAATCCGCGCGCGAGCGGAGAGATTCGCGCTCGCACATTATATTAATGTGCTTTCGCGCTACAATAATGCGTTCCTGACATTTGTCATTAAAATAACGCCATATGCATGGTTTCACACTGTTTACCTTAGCACATCATGTAAAAGTTGTCAAATAAAACAAATCAAGTCTAAAACAAACAGATAATATGGTCAAAGTCAAGCCTGTACACTGGACTAATAAAAATGCATCAGGCTTGCATGCTAAATGCTATAGTGATGTGCAGTATATTTGATTAATGTGATGGTAAGCTGTCTCACACCACACACAAGTGTCAAATATAATACTACAACATCTGATATATCACAACATATCACTTTTAATTGGACATATGCAGCATGATAATGTGATAAACAGCTGCTAGCGAGGTCTACAGCACATGAGCTTGGAAATTTTCAAAATGTGCTAATATATTTGTATGAGGACAGATGTGTTTCTGTAAGGAGGTGCATTCATGTATTTGTGAACAGGCTGTGGGTTTTTCCAACACACTATGTGGATCTAGCTTGTTCACGTGCCCCTGTGCTGAAGGCTCCTTCCTCACTTCCCTCTCTCTCGGTCTCTTTGAGATGAGAGAAGATGGGAATATGAGGTGGCATGGCTGAAGGCTCTGTGCTGGATTGTGTGGAATCTCCTCGCGATTGTGTGCACTGACCCCTTTTCTGCGGCCTAATAAACCCAGAGCTCGTCATTGTCAGCTCACGGGGTTAACAACAGCTGGCAAGATCCTCCCACTTCTACCTCCTCCGCTACTGAGAAAATGCAAAACTAGATTTTAAGCCAAAGTAAAATACTGTGTTTTAACTGACACATATTAATCACTTTATAAAACTAAAATAAATAAATAAATACATAAATAAAACTCTGCTATAAAAATATTTATAGCAGAGTGTCTGAGCTGCTCTCTTCCATAAGATGAAAGTGACTGTTTACCATAGAAAGTGAATGGTAGAACTAGTCAAGCAGGATTTTTAAAGCAAGATTTGCTGTGAATATCAACTCCTTTTAGTCTGTTCCTCAGAAAAAAAATATGTGGTACATCTTCAGAAGACTTGGGTATTACTTTTATGGAGTTTTGCAACCTCTGGTCCCCAATCAGTTTCACTGTATAGAAGCAAACAGTGTGATCCTTCTTTATAATTGCAGAATTACACTGTGTTCCAAAGAAGCAAAAAGTCAGGTTTGAAACACCATGATGAGTTACTGCATACACATATCTCTAATCAACAAACATTCCTTAAAATTTCAAATCACTCAGTGGAAGTCTGAATATCAGATTCATAAACAACCATATGACACAAACTATGACACTGCTCCTTTGAATCATATTTGGGGGATTTGGTTGTGAGTCAATCCAAATGTGTCCAGAAATGGGAACAGCTGGTTGATTGTGGGAAATAAGTATGTCATAAGGAGACAACAGAAATGTACATTTCATGACAGTATCTGTAGAACTCAGAATGACCCAGAAAGCTGAGGGGGACCTCAGATTTCAGTTGAACCCTTACACTAACACCTCTGGTCAAATATTAAATAATAATGCTCTTACATTTACTGTAAAGATTTAAACAGCATAAATCTGGGTTAATTAAAGCAGCAAAGACATGCCACAGCTTACACTGCAAAAACTAATCCCTACCCTCCCCCCTTTCCATTTCTCTCTCTCCTTCTTACTCTGTCATTCAGGCAGAACGTAGATCAGGGGATTTAAAACTTACTGTACATTCTGATTTCTGTATCCACTGTGCCACAAGGACAAAATCAAATCATAAAACTGTCGAAACCCTTTTTACATCTTTTACATTAAAAAATAAAAAAATAAATAATACAGCCAATATTATTGCTGAAATAATGAATATTACAGTATATAGATAAAATTTGTGGCATCATGAATAACAATAAACAAATCAATAACAAAAACAACAACTATAATAATATCAAATATTATTATATATAGACTTAATGGCTATATAACTGTAATAATAATAATAATAATAATTAAATTAAATTAAAATATTATTATTATTATTATTATAAATACTTACATATTATAATAGTTAAAGACTGTAAATCGTGAAAAGTTTTGGAAGGGGCGGTGCATTTGAACTTCTCACAGCTATAAAGTTTATTATCTAACCTGTTTATTTGAGCAGTTTTTAACTAAGTATTTTTTCGACTATGATTTGAGTTATAATCAGGGCTTGAAAATGAAAAAACAAAATTCCATCGGTTCTCTCTGAGCAGAATCGATATTTTAACATTTCTGTTCCTGCGTTCCTCTGTATTATTATCGTTCCGAAACCGGTTTGAGTAGAAGAAATACAGGTTAATATTGTTATTTAAAAAAATAAAATTATTTGCCTATAATAATAATAATAATAATGATGATGATAATAATAAAGTACAGTGTTTTCTTTACTCAAAAAGAAAGAACAAAAAACAGTAGGAGATCTGGTATCTTAACTTGCTGTGCTTTGTCACTCACAGCCAATACAGCATCATCTTTTCTAGATTTTGGCCAAATGTGACTTTAGTCTTTGCAACTTTACAGATCTTCTTTATGCACCAAGAGCTTGTAACACTCCAAAGAGAAAGGAAAAATTGAAATCGCATCATATGACCCCTTTAAAGACATTAAAGAATTTTTTAAGATATTTAAAAATGCGTATAGGCTCACGTCGCATTTTATTGTTACATTCAGAAATAATGTAGGCTAAAATGCAAAATGTTTACAAACATTATAAACAGTTATTAGTTTCTCCCCAAAACAAATCCTAAGGCTTGGGTTTAGGCTATAAAAACGTCAACCCAAAAACAAATGAATGAAACTGATGCCTACCTCTCTCATTCGGCACGAATCTAAATGTTTACATATCCGCGATCTGGATGTTAAAATATTATTTATTATAGGCTAGTCTTTGTACTTTCATCGACGTAAAGCATCATCCTTCACATCGGCTATATCAGCACAGTGAGGCGGTGCTCGCTGAACAACAGAGACAGTGTACATTTTTATTTGTTTTTTTTAGCTGTATTTTATTTTGATAATGAACAGGCTGCAATGTCGCATACATATGTTGTGTCTGTGTGCGTGTGAGGAGCCGACACGATGGTCAGACTCATACCAACGCTGGTGGTTAAACAGATAGAATCACGACATCATTCAAAACTGTCAAGCTTTTGCAAAATAAAGAAAACTACTTTCTGCCGTCTCGTTTTCCTTTCCGGGAACGCATCACAATGAATCATAACTCACACATTTTTTTCTTTCATTTTGTTAATCTGTCAATGATTTAAGTGAAATATATTTTGTGTATATGCCTATATATTTATTTTTATGTAAGCCTATAGTTTTATTCTGTTTTCTCCGTTCACAGAAGTGCTGCAGGTTATGGAAGCATATAGGTAGCAAAATTCAAATGCAATATGCAAAATGGCAACGCAATATTCAAAATGACAACGCAATATTCAAAATGGCAATGTATTTCTGTATTTAAATTTACATTTTCCATTACCCACACGTGCAAAATTTGTTGCAAAAGGAAAATTAAAATTTAATTATAGAATTTACATTTGCCATTTCCAACAGTAGTCTTAATATGTAAACTGAATACAAATGTTATGTTCAAGCAGAAATGGTAGCATAATGATCATTTAAATGCTATTTGTCCTAAATGCATTTAAACTAACAGTTAGAACACTTAGGATTGCATTTTCATCATGACGCCGTGGGATATTTTTACCAAAATTCAGTGCGGCTTTGAAAATGCATTCCGAGCTGACCATGCCCACCCTCTGTCAATCATTGCTTCAAGGCGGGGATTGGCGGAATCGTGTTACGTTTGGATCGTTCGAAACATGGTGGCTCGAGATCTGATAAGATCGTTGCAATTTACATATTAAGACCACTGTTGGAAATGGCAAATGTAAACTATATAATTTAATTTTCATTTTCTTTTTGCAACAAACTTTGCACGTATGGGTAATGGAAAATGTACATTTAAATACAGAAATACATTGCCATTTTGAATATTGCGTTGCCATTTTGAATATTGCATTGCCACTTTGCATATTGCATTTTAAATTGAATTTCGCTACCTATATGCTTCCATATAATTGAGAGCTATCAATTTGAACATTTATTAGACTTGAAAAAATAACTTGTATATCTTTGTATATCACAACAGCTGGGTTATTAGGTTATTTGGCTGCTATTACTTTAAGAGCTGCCGCTGCTGAACGTGATGCGGATCTGACACGCATATTTTCTCTCAACTCTTTTTACCTTTTCTGACCCACTTCAGGTCTTAAAGTCTTTATTAAATTGCATTCTATTACATGCATGCACAGTTTTAAGGCAGCTTTAATCTCCTTTTTGGTAACTTCATGACTTAACTGACCACGACATTGCATGCACGTAGTTTATTTTGCGCTTTGATATGAAAG